ACTGCCTTTTGACAATTCCGATTTTTTCCTACAACTACTTTGCGTTGATGTATTTGGGCTTGTTTGTGTCCATCTTGGAGAATTATATGTGCAACGTAACCCTCAGTTGGAAAAACTGATTAAAAATAGTTTCACTTAATTGAGCTTAGCAACCAATGGAGAAATATGGACAGTGTTTGTATCACTATTTTTAATGCAATAATTACTCATGAGGTGAAATAGGTCCCTAAGAACAGTATCGGGACTGCTTTTTGAGCAATGGTGTGAGTATTGCATTCAGCAGTGACATGTAGCAAAATGTGGTAGGGCATATGAGCACGATGAAGTCACTATGTTCTGTGTACTGTTGGGAGTGTGGAATGAGCTGGAGAGGTAGAAAAATAAAATACTGAACATGATGAGTATTGCAGCCATCAGCAGCGGAATGGTTCAGAGTAATTAATGTCTGTGGTGCCAGTCAAGCCTTAGACAAAAGAGATGGGGACCACAGGCTGTCTCCCTGGAACACACAAAATGAATAAAGAAGGTGTGCTATTGCATGAGCACCGTGTTGTTCTCATCATCAGATGATGAATTTCCTTGTTTTACAAGAAATATGAACTAAATGGAGAAGTGAGGGAATCGGTCTTGCAGCTTGTTATAACTAACACGACTCATCTCAAGAGGGATAGGATTTATCTCAGCCACTTAGTCATGTTTTTAATTAATCTAACCTTAATCTGGACATGTAATACAGGTTAGATGAATCACTTCATAAACATGCCGGTTTCTCTCCAATGACTGTAGTTGGAATGAGATGACTTCTGCAGATGTGGATGTCTACAAAAGAGGCATCTCATTTAGTTTTAGATGGTTTATGTCATTGAGATTCTCATGTGCCAAACCCCAGTGTTCACATGATGAAATTCAGTGGACCATAGTCATGTCAGAAACCACATTTCAAGAACAGAAGTAAAACGTATCAAGTTTTTCCATGAGACATCTAGTGGTACGCACTTAGAAATTAATATCTTACTAGACTATGAAGTCTGTAAGACAGGCCACTGAAATAAGCAATGAAGGAAAGGAAAGCCTATATTTAAAACCACAGAGCCACAGCATCGGTATAATCTTTAAGTTGCAACCCAAATGAAAGATGCATCCTCGACTATGGCAAAAAAGCCAAAGCAAAATAAGTACAGAATTGTAACCGGAAGAGTAAGTTTCTCATCACAGGTGATAAGAATAAATCATTTTAAATTTGGGCAGATGGACACTAGCCAGGAGAAACTGCAGTTCTTAAATACTTTGTCCGTAATCAGTGACAGAGAAGAAATATTTAATGAAGGCACCTGCTGGTAGTAGTTAATGAGACTGACTGAAATGAACTTCTCACAGAGAAGAGTGAAGTTAGAGCAGAGACACTAGATGAGACAGAAGACCTCAGGAACATACTCTTTCTGGACTGATCCTGCTTCAGGCTATGTGAAAGGGGACTGATAAGTGGTTCAGGATGAACACAGATGAAGCTAAATTCGGTTTCTTTTATGTGGTCTGGAAGACCGAAATGTTCAACCAGGCTCTCTGAGACCTGTCAATTCTAGAATAACATCATCAAAGCTATTAAATTAAACTCCTGGTTTGTATAATTTCTTGAATGTAGAGGTTTTATCAGAGGTAAGGACAGGAAGTAAGTGTACCTGTCTGGTTGAGACAGACTATTCATACACCCAGCAGCACACCATACTGTAATACATGTTTGTTGACTCCCATGTACACATACATGCACTAGGGCACAGAGGCTGATAGCAGCTGAAACAAAGTAGTGATTTACATTATGATGGCTTATTGTGCTTACTTGGCATGTTATTATTGTTGCTATTTAAGTAAAATCCCCTGAAGTTTATTTCAGACAAGATTGAAATAACTATAGTACCATAAAACAGTTGGTAGGAACATTTTGTTTACATAGAGGTAAAATATTATAGTTGTTCAACAGATTGCAGACTTCCTTTGGTGGGCATTTGTAATTATTTGGGACCAAATCCAGTTCCTAGTAAACTTGGTAGAAATCTTTCAGTCAGTTCCAGAGGGACTTGTATCAAATTTCTTTAAGTTCTTGAAGATGCCAAGTTTTAGACAGTTGACATTTTAATGTTTGCTGGGTGCCTGATAAGGTGAGGACTAAGACTTCCTTTGGGACTCTGCGTAATATGTGCAATGATATGCTTTGCCATGAAATCATCTTAATTGGATGGAGTAGTGAGGAGGTTAATGGGTCTACCTGGTCACTGCTTTAGAACTTGTTTGTATAATAATGTAGGAAATATGGGGACTAAACAAGAGGACCTGAAATCTTAATCCATGAGCAACAGTGTGACTGAACTGGCATAGCAAAGACATGGTGGGAGGCCAGAGAGGAGGAAGAGGCTGTTGCTGTTGTATATCGGGTTCAGATGCTTGTGCGGTGACCCAGCTGTAGAGGGAGTTGGACATACTGATGCTTTGTGAGTAATGCTAAAAGGGAAAAAGCTCATGGGCTCCATTGTTATGCAGGCATTGCACAGACCACCAAACAGATCAGGAAGGTGGGGATTTTTATTGGCAGAGTACAGGGGATGGTGATGATGGGAGATTTTAATTAATCAGTCGTCTGTTGGAAACCAATAAAGGACAATACCAACTGCCCGATATGTTTTGCAATGCACTTAAGACCAAGTTGTGAGAAGGTAGGACAAGCAATTGAAGGGGAAGCATTCTATTTGATACCAATGCTAAGGGAGAAACTGTTCAAGAAAGGGAAGAAAAAAGGCAGCTTGAGTGAGAATTACCCTGGGCTGACAGAACTAACAGATTTCAGGAAGGGAAGGAGGTTGAGTAAAAGAATCAGAACAACAGGTTTCAACGGGATACGAGAGGACTGTGGACAGACATAATCCTTTTGGAAAGGAGTCTGGAGAAATGAAGTAAAAGGAATTGGTTGTTCCTCAAAGGAATATAAAGAGGAAAAAATGCAAATTGAGACAGCGTTGGAAAAGGACAAAAAGCATAGTAAAATAAATCTCTGTAAAAGATAAGCATCTCATTTATATCGAGCACAAGAAGGAACCATGAAGAAAATTAAAACTAGTTTGTATTATTCAGAACAAGTGCAAAAGAATAGTAAAAGATGTAGAGAAAAAAAATAATCAAAGAAGCCATGGCCAAAAAATGTGAACAAGAAAAGACTGTGTACAAGAAAGAACACAAGGAGTAACTGAAATTGTTCTGGAAGTATATTTCTGGTAAGAGCATGTTCCAGGAAAGTGTTGCTCTACTACTTCATGGAAGCGCATCAGTCTTCACTAATGGTATTAAGACTATATGGAAAACTCAGCCTAGACAAGAGAAAGGACAAATCAGAGAGTAATTAATGTGTTAGGTGATCCCAGGTTAGTTGTGCCTGAGGCACGCTGTACTTGGAAACTGGAAGAGTCGGCTAAATCTGTCTCAGCCCTGTTAGCAATTGCCATTGAGAATCTGAAGAAGAAAAATGAGTGTGTGAAAAATCAGAAAAATAGAAAAACTGATCTGTAAAAGGGTGGGGGAGCTATGGAGGGAAGAGGTCTGTCACAGATTTACAGATCATTTTTGTTCCTAGAGATATTACAGACAAATATTCAAACATTTTGTACCTGGAGGAAAGTAACAAACAGCAATCAGTATGGGTTTGTTGGAACTATCTAATACCCCATAACGAGAGATTAAAACTTGTGGATAAAAGAAAAGGAGCAGATGTCCTACGCTTTCACTTTAAGAAACTTCTGAATGCTGTCTCACAAGACTCCCCTATAAACAAGCTAGGGAACATCAAGCAGCGTCTTAATGTAAGTTGCATGGAATATAGCTGCAAAACTGGTTGGATAAGGTAACCCCCAAGCAGCTACTGCTGTTTCCCTGCCATGTGTGTATTCCACAAGAATTTATTTTAGACACTATTCTGTTTTTTCAGTAATAATCTGGATTATAGAGAGTACGCTTATTAAATTTGCAGTTCTCACAAAGTTGAGAATGGATCGGAATGATGGCCAAGAACAGGATCAGAATTGAAAATGGTCTTGACACACTGGAGAAATGGTTTGGGGCATAAGGTAATATTTAATAGGTCTAAGTGCATGATACTACACTTGGGCAGAATAGCCATAATACAGGACACAGGACAGCTGGGTAAGCAGTGGGTTTAGAAAACGATACTTGAGTCATTAATATTACATGAGTAAACGTAATCAAGCTGTTGTGAAAAAGGTATGGATGGATGAGAAAGAAATATAGCCTGCAAAATGTATGGAGTAATTAATCTGCTGTACTCAGTATTCTGCTCAGCTCAAATACTAGGTCTAGTTTTGAGCATCTCACTTCAGTAAAGATAGGGCTAATTGGAGGGAGTTCAGAGAGTGGCAAAGAGGCTAGTTAGCTGAAAAACATGACTTGTAAGGAAAAAATTGAAGAAACAGAATTATTTACCCTAAAAAGTAAAAGGTAGGAGAGAAAAGTTTTTTAGTATGCAAAAATTACCAACCAAACAAAAAAAACCCCAACAAGCAAACAACCAACAGAAAAAAACCAAACCCCAAAAACCCCACGCCAAACCCAAAAGCTCCAAACCACCTTGAACTTATGCAGATGAAGGGAATTATCTGATCTCTGCATCCAGTATGGATAGCTTAAATTCTAACATGAAAGAATTAGTTTAGACATCAGAAAAAAGTTCTGATAGTAAGGTAAGATCACTTAGAACATGTTAAGTGAGCAATTTATAAGTATATTAGAGGTCTTTTAAAACACAGAAAACATGTCCAAAAATGATACAGGTGTAGGTTTGTTTCACGGGCAGTTTGGAGGTAACCTGCTGTGGACCATATCAGCAGTATCTTCTGTGATTCTCTACTGGGTGTGTTACATTACTGAGTATTATTACCATGCCACACAATGCATTTTCTGTTCTGTAAATCTTGTGAAACATTATTGTACTTTGAATTAAGATTATATTTTTTTTTTAATTTCAGTGTGTGCAGAAGCTTACAATCCTGATGAGGAAGAGGATGACACAGAATCTAGGGTATTTAATGCTTTGAGTCAAATACTTTTTCTTTTTTTTTTTTTCACCTCTCAGGCATTACATTTAGGAAGAAAAATATAACCAGCATTGCCATTCCTTGCCAAAAGCATCTTTATTATAATATACTTCAATAATCTCTTGGGCTTTCATGTTAAAGGAGCGATTAAAAATTCTATGTAATAGTCCCCCATGTAGGATCTGATGTGAGTATTATTCTAAATTGCCACACCTTTGACACATGGACTGTTAAGGAAATTGTTGTGCAATTATATTTGCCCAGAGAGCACCTGCTCCTAAAAATACTTTTTTGGTGTCCTCATAATCTTGCAGTATTTCCTCAATATTGTAGTATTTTTCATAAGGCAGAAAAAAGGTAAATTATAAAATCGCTAAGATTTTTCAGATGTGCAATGCAATAACTAATGAACTATATTTATTTCTTTTACTTATGTCATCTTTTTAAAGGGATTTACTTAGCTTTTAATATGAAATAGCATAGGTATGACTTTAAGACAAGTTTAAATGTTTATATTCTACCTAATTTCTGGCTTGTAAAACTGCCAAAAAGGTTGTCCTGTAGTATCACAACTTTGAAACATAGCATACCTTTTTAAGCATATGAGTTGAATAAACAACCTGATTGATAATCACATTGATCAGATAGCGGTAATTTAGTACATCTCTGGCTCGCTCAGATAGTGTCAAGTCTGTTGTTTACTCTGTGAAACTTCTGATATAGATTTAACACGGGTGCTATTTCACAAAATATTATTTGGGAAATAGCCATGGCAAATGGCTAAATGTAACAGTGGTGCTTTTTATAAAAACATGCATGCTCCAAATATGGTTATAGTAGAGTACTGTGTATGTAGCAATAGTTGAGATAAAGGTATCCAGAAGGGCTTGCAGAAATGAACTGGATTCTATAAATGTAAAGATCTTGTTAGCTTAAATACAGCAGTTCTTCGTTTACTAATGCAATGGTGATATAAAGTTATCATTGCGTGTTTATTCAAATCCTGAAGGTTTTGAAATGAAAGTGTTATGAAACGTGGCCAAAATATTGTGGAAAATGCTTAGCTGAATTAGCTCAGTCCTGCAGCTAGTGCTGCTATATGGTAACCACTTCAAAGGTTTTTCTATTATATCCCTCAGATTATTCACCCTAAAACAGATGATCAAAGAAACAGACTGCAGGAGGCGTGCAAGGACATTCTTCTTTTTAAGAACCTAGATCCGGTAAGAAATTCTTTGTAATGAACAACATTTAGCAGTGCTGCTAAGAATCAGTTCTCTTGAACAGAAGTTTACAGATTTGACTTTTGTAAGCTCTTATGTATGCTTTCTTGAGCATTTCATAAACTCCAGAAATGCCATTTTTATAACTGATGCATCATGTATAGAGAGCCTTTTGTTCACCACCATGAATGATAGTCTTGAAGTACATTCATATGAATGTATACATTAACATGATTGTAAAGTATTGTATTTTCTTATTTCATTTTAAATCTTCTTGCTGTACATTTATGTATACAAACTCATCAGTTAATGGGAATGTTTAAGTTGTTTCTACTAGTTACTTTTTATCATCCAAAAGTGCGCTGAGTGCTCCATCAAAACCTAAATTTACCCCCCAAAGCCTACAGTTTAGCTGTAGATGTAATTGAACAAGCAAGTTATGAAATGGAGGGAAAGAGAAATAGCAAGGTATTTACATTATTATTTCACTTAATACAGATACCATAAAAATGCTACAGATAATTTTCTTCTGTGCAGATAATTTCCTTCTATTGCCCATAAAAATAATTATGGGCTTTTAAGAAAGCTTAAATGCAGTGAATGAATGATCTGGATCAGACAAAGGTGATAATGCTACAAAAAAGCACAGGGTTGTTTAAGGAAAAAGGCAAGTGGATCAATCAAAACATGCATACTGAGGTTGGGATGACTCACAGCACACCAAATGCGCTCTCAAGAGAATTGATTCAGTGCTGTCAGGGGAGGGAGCATGGGGAAAGGGAAATAATTATGTAGAGTTCTAAGCATGAGAACAGAAAGTTTTAAATTTGATTCAAGAGGGAGCTAATGGAAAGACCAGCTTGCAGCTCGGTTTGGAAGTCAGGTGTTGTTACAGAGAATGCACGTTATTTCGTGCTGCAGGTTTCCAGCTCCTGCTTTTGTCTGCACTAAGGCTGAGCCCTGACCCTGGGGACCTGTTCCCAGAGAGGCCTTGAGGAGCAGTGAGCCACCGACCCCCAGCTTTGCAGAACCCTGGAGTTAGAGCTGTAACAGAGCATCAAATGGCTCAACCTAAGTGCTAATGTGTGCATTCTTGGGACACTAGGGATCCTGACACAGAAGTTTTCCTAACTCCCTCCCTCATGCTGTCTGTTTAATGGGTAGTTTATTAGCTGTTCCACTATACTTGTTCAAGATAGTCACCCAAACATTTGCCCCTTCCATTCCTGAATTATTTTTCTGCATTTCAGGGATACAAAGTGACTTGTGGGCATCTGCTCTGGATGTGAAATTGCTTTATTATATATTTTCCTTATGGTTGCTGTGTCCTGGCTTCCATTTGCCTGGACCATGGTGACGTTAGCCTGTCAGTAGCATTCTGGCAGACCCCGCTTGGTTCTTCTCTGAGCACTTCTCTTTTATGAGCCCTGTGACCCAACAGATTATTGTGTGCTCCTAGAATCTGCTGTGATGTTAATTTTGAGCTACTGCTTTCCTGATTCTGGCTTTACACAGTTTCTTGGTAACATCTGCTTATAGTATCAATCCTCTGGATGAGATCTGCTTTCCCTTCCAGTGAGAACTAGATTTTCTGTCTAAATTGTCATCAGTTACTTGTCATTACTAATAGTTCCCACAATCTGTTCCAGGTGTTTAGCAGAAGACTTCTTAGCTGAGTCCTTCCCTTGTGGAGCTCTGCAGTCCAAAGCCTTGAAAACCACTCCTGGGATCTCCCAAGTCTTGTTTACCCCTCCTTTGCTCAGATTGTCCAGTGGATTAAGAACACTTTCTTCTGCTTTAAATCCTTCATAGGCAGCGTTCTGGAAAGTTGAATAAGATAATTTTTGTAAAGGAGTTTTTCATGATAGTAACTTTACTCATAACAGGCATTGGAAAGCTACTGAGCTCTGAAGATAGGGAGGGTATTAAAATGTAGCCTTCTTCAGTCTGGCTTGCTCCTTCTGAGGAGCCAAGATCTGTAGTCCCCAGGGGACTTCTCCCACTCCTCCTTCTTGTTCTGCTTCTAGGCAGTGACTCAAGAGCTCTGCCACTGTAGTTGCAGTAATTTAAATGTTCCTCTCCCAGCTCTCTTCCTCACCTCTGCGTCTCCACCCTGCAGCACAAGCGCATGTGGTGCCAGCTGCTGCAGTTTGCTCTCTGGTGTATTAGCAAAAAAAATCTTTCATCTTGGAGAGAGAGAGATAGTATCTGTAGCTGCTAAAGCTAAAGTCTCAAACAAAAGTCAACCTGTGTATTGATAGCATCTCCCATTGTTTCATTTCTTGCATTGAACTTCAACCTCTTTCTGCTATAGTTCTGTGTGTGAAAAAACATTGTTTCAGAGGTCAGTGAGTTAGAGGGGAAGAGATAATGTAAAGTGCTTAATTTCTTTTCCCTGGTGGCCTTTTAGCAAGGTGTCAAACACCATTCCTAGATAGGAAATACAGTATAACAACAAACCCTACGGCACCATCAGAATTGTGTTCAGTAAATGAATGGAGTTCACATTTTCCTAAAACTTTATCCCACCCTAACACACTGTGTTTTAATTTGAATGGAAGGATAAGGTAAGGGTGTCATTAAAGCAGAAGGAGAAGTTGCAGTAGTTAGGAGGTGACTTACAGTACTGCTCAGCATTGTAATTGAAAAGTCTATCTGAACGAACAAGAGCCTTCACATAAAAGTGAAAAAGAGCAGAACCATAAGACAAAATGAGAGAGAAGAAAAAGATAACCTTCAGACTTTGGGACATCTTAAGACTTTCTAAACACACACAACACTGTCTTGAGCCTGCATTTATCTGATAGCAGTGTTCGAATATCAGATAGGTAAGCTTCATGAGAAGTATTTATAAATATCAATATTGCACATGTTGGCTCTGATTGAAAATACAGCATATATAGCATAAAGGAACACTAGCTCTGGTATAATTCCCTAAGCAGCGCTCTATATTTTAAAGGCCAACTCTTATGAAGTCCTTAAAGTCTGTGAAGTTACTTGAATTATCTTGAAACTTTCTTTAACTTTCTGGATTGCTAAGGAAGTGACTGGTCAGTTAATGTCAGTTCAGCAAGACATTCCTGAGTTAGCTCCCTTAAATAAAAAGCACTTAAAAAAAAATCAGTATTTTAGCATTTTTTTCACCTTTCTGGTGGCTTAATCATGTCCCATCTGGTTGCTGTCACTCAATATCAGTTTTAGCTTGTACATAACAATATTGAAAAAATTACTAGAAGATATGGATTGAAACATGCATGTGCAAAAAGAAAAAAAGAGGTTTTTGCAGAGCTCTTTGGCTGCTTTTTAGAGGACCAGATTAGGAAAGTAGCAAGAGAAATTCCAGGAGCAGAGCTGTGTGAATGAATGAATTAAAAGAAAGAAGGGGGCATTCAGATGTTTGTTTTCCTCTCCCCACACTATTAATCTAACCCATGTTAGATTAACCCATTCCTCTTCTAAAGCACCTCTTCTGTTCTTCTTCCCAGAAAACATCTTTCTATTAGACCATAGTATTATTTATTGTTCTTCTTGATTTCCTGCCATCCATCGCCCAAAAACCTAGCATTACTTTTGTTCTCCCAGCATTGCCATAGTATTTCAGACTACTTGCTCTACATGCATGCACAAAACATGTTACCATGCCTCCTTTGTGCTCCACATGCTGGAGGTTACTGGCAGTGAAATAAGCAGCTGCATGCCCTCTTGCTCCTCCACTTGCACTTTGCATAAACCATCAAAGAGAAAATGAGGTGATGACTTTGGGCCATTACTGGGATGAGCCCCAAGTCGCTGTCTTTGGACTTTGTCCGTTCAGCCTAACAACTGTTTTATCACTGGGAGGAATAGCAGCAGCAGCAGCTCAACTACTGGCCAACACAGCCTTCTACACTTCCTATTTACAGTGCAATTCAGAGGAGTTACTCTTTTGAGTTTGGCTTTTAAGAGGAAACTTTGCTGAAGGTGATTAACAGGCTATTAGGTTTGTCTGTTCTGGGCTAGATATGACCCATAGGCCAGCAGTTGAAAAACCTGATGAACCTTTTGTCAGAGTAACAGGGTGGCTCAAGGGACTGGTACCATCAAAGATGTGCTGTACCCTTGCACTTAAAGTTTGAACTCTATTTTGCAAAAATCCACAAGCAGTGTTAGATCATCTATTCTGTTTCAGGGAAATTTTATTTTTGAGAGCTTTGCCCTGCTAATGCTTGTAGAAAATATTTCAAATAGGTCTTGATCCTTTTCTAAAAGGTAGTAAATTATATATATTCTTCACAAATATGCAAGAGCAATTTCTGGGCATATTGCCACTCATTTACCTGGGGAATTATTATAAGAGAGCACAAATATTGACTAATCAATTAAAATTTATTAACTTGAAGATGAAAGAAAGCATAATACAACCATGTTTTATGAATAGTGGACTCATACTTAAGGCCAAAGCATTCCTTGAAACTAACAGAAGAGTCTCATAATGCTTTTACACTCTTAAAAATTTTGGTGAAGAATTAAGACTGCAGATATCAGTGCAGTTAATGCAAATACATGTATGTAAGAGCCCAGAATGTCTGGACATGTTAATGCTTTCCTGGAGAGCACAAAACTCTTTGCAAAGTAATGGGTTCCCAAATAGAACTGCACTTAATCCTCTCTTCTTTTCCTAAGGCAAAATTAATGCTTACATCAGATCTAGCAAACAGGGATTCTCTCCACCTTGCCTATAATTAGTTATTGAAGATGTTCTGCAACAGAACTGCCCAATGTGAGGTGCTTTCAGCTTAAGAGTTTTGGAAACTATTTGCCACTCTGAATTATTTCTGCTCTTTTTAGCAAGCTGCTAAAAAGTCAGCCAATTTGCTCAGAGAGGCTACTTAAAAAATACAAAAAGTGTTACTGAGCCTGACTGATGGTCATGTGCAAGACATTTGAGAGGCAGAATACTAACAACATAAAACTATGTGGAGGAAGGTTAAGTTGAATTCTGAAGGAAAATATTAATACTC